GAAGATGATAATATCTATGATTAACACCCTCCACAATAAAAATGATTAATCAACCTCTCATAATTACAAAAAAATGAACAAAATGAAAAATTATGATTCGTTGAATGCGGTTTGCACGGTTTGTACAAATTGAATGGTTTGCATTTGATCGCTCCTATATATATATATATATATATATATATATATATATATATATATATAACCATCAAATAACTTTCGTGGGCAGCTTGTCTAGTCCTACTTATACCAAACACTAGACAAATATTTGTTCTGTCCAGTCTTTTCCCGTCCAATCTTGTCTCGTCCAGTCCTGTCATGTCCACTCTTATCCCGTTCTACGCTCTTTTATTGTCTAGTCGTCTCTAATCAAGTTTACATACCAAACACTACCTTAATGTGAACCCAATGACACTTATAAAATGGAATGATCCCTAAAGTACCAAAGCAGCTAGCACAAAACTATTCCTAATCTCCATCAATCAGAAATTGTCCATCGTTGAAGATGCTAATTAAAGGCTTTGGTAGAGGAAGACAAAAGATCCGTTCGTCATCAAAGTTCGTATATAGAAGATTATAAAACAATGCTTTCAGATATGCAATTCCATTGTTCAGATTTTCTTAATTAAAATAATATGGTTTGATCATTTGGAGGGAATTTGTAAATTTCTAATAATAGATCTTGTGTATTTTAAAAGTATGTTCTCTAAAATAAAAATTAGAATAAAGTTTGCTTCGTCTTGATGTAATTTAAAAGTATGTAATTTCATTTTAGATGACCTTCAACCGGAAGAAAAAGTCGCCATAATGTTTTCGGAATGAACATATGTTTTCACATCTCAAAATTGGATAGATATGAGACCGTAAAAGGCGCTCGCAATGAAGTTCTCATAGTGTTTTTTGTTCAAGAGTCACTAAATATAGAGGTATTGTTTGGTCGGTTTAATAGGGTTTCAGATTATTCAATTTTCAGTTTTCTCTAAATTCATAGAAAACCAACCAAATTAAGTTATGATTAAATCTTTTTTGATTTATTTAAGTCGGTTGTTGGATAAACCAAATACCGTAAATTTAAGTATGAGTACTTAATGGAGTCCTCTATAATCAAAAATTAGTTTACAATTTTGATTTACGAGAGGATTAGAAATCTCTGGATAATTAACTTATAATAAATGTTATTTATATCCGATTAATTAAATGATTAAATTTGGAATCAAAGAACCGAGATTTTGTAGGTTATTCTATTTTGATCTTTTAGTTTATAGTTAAAAGATAGATGTTATGTTTGGACATATGCTGCAGCTCAATTATCCTCGGCTTCATATATATCTTTCAATCACAGCATCTTAAGGACTGTTTACCCAAATGCGTACCCGTTAAGTGTTTACCTATAAAAGTCAACATTATAATTTATTATGATAAGTAAGATAATAGTACATCAAAACATATTGAATGCAACAATTTACCGGGTAAGTGCTTACCTGAGTAAGAGTCGTAATCTTCACTTACCGGGTAAGACTATCTATTATTTTCATCACTCTTATCCGGTAAGATTCGTGGCCTTGTCATGTTCATCCGATATGAAAATTTATTCGGTAAGCACTTATCACGTAAGCATTTAGTAAACGGCCCCTTAGACACGTAACTGATATTTTATATATACATATATAATATTAGATTAGAGCGACGTATTTTTTAAATTTAGAAAATATAAATTAAATTTTCATAAATATGAGTTTCAATTTTAAAGCTAAAGTAAACCAGCTTCGATAACAGCTAGCTACTTGTAGCCGTCAATCAATGTGATGGTATTCTATAATTGCTATTAACTATTTAATGAATAAAATACAATTTTTATTGTTTTTCTTAGCAACATAAATAAATATTTATTTGTATTTTTGTAAATGATAGTGATAAATAAATAATAAAATGGGAAATGGGATATTCTGTAATGACACGTAGGGGAGTTGGAAACTGCTTTTTGTTTGGTGAGAAGGGGGTGCGTGTTGTCTCCATCAATTGTGTGGGCCTAACTTTGTAAAATCCACCCGACACCTGTCTCCCATCCTTTATATTATTATTCAATCCACACTCCCATCATTAAATATATGTTCAAACCAAAAGAGTAATTAAAAAATAAATATGAAAATGATTAATTCATTTATAAAGACGGTTAATGTAAGGGTGTGGAGATGACACATAATCGGTCATGACCAAAATCACGTTTAGTCAGTCACAATGGTGTGCGGGTGATCGATTGTGGCTAAAATCACGTTTAATAACATGTGATTTTATTGTAAATATCATATGTGATTTGAACATTTATGATTTTTTTATTTAGTCATTGTTTTATTATGTTATTTTACTTCAAAATTCCAATTTTTATAAATTTTAATATATATATATATGTATATGTATGTGTGTGTGAGAAGCAAACTATGGGTTGATTAAATAGTTGATCCAAACATATATTAACGAATGGAGAATCGAACTAATACGTACGACTAGGAAATAACTGCACTAACCACATCTTGAGCAACTCCGCCAACTACTTGTCCAGCAACTACATCTTTTGTATCCGAGCTTTTCATAGCATAAACAATCGCAATAAGTGTTACCACAAATGCATAATCCACGTTCGGATATATTGTCACCATAAATTTGTCCTCAGAGAACTTCACATTGTCCATTGGTTGCATTTCATGCATCTACAAGCCCATTGATTAGTTACAGTTAATTTGAGCTTTAGGCTCATGAACCGAAAAACTGAGAAACCAAAATCAATCACTGAAAATAGAGAAAAAGTGCACGAAAATTACTTGGGCTATTGTTGTTGAAGAATCTCCCATATAAACAGTGCATTCTCTCTTTGACCAACTTCCTTTGATGTTGAAATCACAACCATTCTTACTACTCATTTTGTTTGCCATGAACACATTTACCTTGGTTTTAAACTGGATCATGTGTGGTGTTTTTGTGCTAAATATCATATCCGAATCGGCTTTACTGTCACCCCTAAATACATTCCATCCATCATGTCCACTCATGTTCTGGGAAATAAATACAAACTCCATTTCAATGTCGGATTTACCATCAATGCAACAAAACAAACCAAAGTCATAAAAGAATATTAAAATCTCACCTTCTCCCGGAGCATAACGATGGGTCTGTCAACAGCATCGAGTAGCAAAAGCTGACGATGGAAGCTTGTGCTGTATGGTTTCACTTTGAGCATGATTTTGTGGTTAGTATCTGTGATCACAAGGTTTCCACTTGAATATGTATCAACTATAATTTCAAGTTGATATGGTAAAATGAACTGAGGCCCTATCACAGAAACTGGAACGAATACAGGTGCATAACTTGGTTGAGCCATCACCACCATAAAATACAAAAAATACAAGTTTAACAAAGTGTTCTAACGATATATATATATATATATATAT